AAAGACAACCTTATGATAAAGGTTCTAGTGCGTACCAGTGTTTATTAGGTTTTTGCGACGTGATGGGATATTAGGTTTCTTGAGTGAAAAGCCCTATAAGTCGCTAATTCAAATTTTTAGAAAAGTTTTGCGCTTCTGCGCTCTATTGCCAAAGTACTAGCCCTAGTCAGTCTATCTAACTATGAACAGCTTCTGTAAGCGTCTAGTGCATTATGCATAAAGAAGATATTTTCAGGGTGAATGTTTGAAAGTGTTAACACCCCATACGCATAAGATAATCTGTGGCATTTTGGCTAGTGACGATTCTTTTATAGTTACCGGGTCGTCTGATTCTTCAGCGAAGGTAAGTCTATCTGACTTGGTTCCTAGACATAAATCAAAGTCATTCTCGTTTCGCTTGTAACCCTGTATATTTAGGTTATTGATATTGAAAGTGGCGAAGTTCTCATGTCCTTCACAGAACATACTGGAAGCGTTGTGTCGCTACAACTTACTATGAATAATGAATTTCTCATATCAGGTTCGTTCTGCTTTTATTACTGGCAAAAAGTGGTCTCCGATGCATTATTCTTTGCTGGCGAAAACTAGCTATGTATAATTCTCAAAGTAAAGCTGCAATAATAACGTGAACTCTAATTTTTTTAGTGCATAGTAATGATAAGGGAAGCGAAAAGATCCTTCAGATTATTGCATTATCCAGGGAGACTAGTTCTCGCATAGAAGTTGATCATTTTTTTTTAGGTTCTGGTGATTTTATCGTACAAATGTGGTCTCTAAAAACGGGTCAATGCATTTCTAGAATGGGTGGTTTAATGGCACCTGTTAGTTGTATAACAATTACATCGTAAGTTTTGCCATATTGCTTTTTAAATGTTGCGAGTCTTGGTCCTAATTACTAGCAAATCATCTCAATGTTTCAGAAATGATGCTTTTGTTGCTGTAGCTTGCGAGGATGAAACTTTGCGTATATTTTCTACCGTAAGTGGACAAGAACTGCACGAATTAATGGGTCATGAAGGACGGGTGGGTCTACTCTTTCCTCCTTATATGTCCCATCCCTACATTTGCTACCAGCTGTATAAAACAGGCTTATAAATGTGCATTTGAGGTTAATGCATTGGTTTGTGCTCAAGATGACTGTCAATTGTTTGCCGCTACTAAATCGAAAATTTACTGTTATGATATTCATAATGGAGTAATCGTGGACACTTTAGATTGTCAACTACCGTATCTCGTTTATAGCATAAAGGTAAGTCAACTAATTTCATTGATCAAATATGTGGAATAAGACCAGTAGAGCACTTTTATTGAAGAAAATTGGTTGTGAGAATTGGTCTCTGGACATCAAAATTACTCTGTCAGAGGGAAGGGGCAGGAAATGCTGTAAAAACAAGTTCACAGTCATTTGAATAATGCTTTGAACATCAGTATCAACTGAAATCAGCTATAGATTGCCTAAAACATCACCAAAAAACAATCCAAAATAGGGAAAAAGTCGTTAGATTCCTTTTCCAGACCTTTGAGTCATTAGATGTCAACCGCTTAAGTGTACTTTCCACCGCCCCTTTTTAAAACAAACTCGTTAGATTTCGTTTTACATTCTTTGTAAAATGAAATTCCAACGAGTTTGTTTCATTCACTCTTCTCTTCAGATCTCCTCCGATAACTACTTCCTTTTCTCCGGTTGCGGACCTCGAGTCGATGTATGGAATATCCAAAAACGAATTCATGATGCGCCTGAAAATACCGAAAATATGGGATTTGTCACCGCAATTTGTTTAAGCTCGGA